GAGATCGTGGAAACTGTCCAGGGCCTCACATCAAGTTGAAACGATCGCCCACTTCATTGCAGAAAAAGACTTTACAGTAGACTGGCTTGGAACTGATGACATGGCAGATGCAACACGGCTACTCAAAATCCACCAAGTCTATACAATCAAAAGGAAGCAGCTCACCGCCAAAGATGCCATCTCAGAATCCAGTGATGATGATCTAGATGATGATGATGCTGATTCACCAAAGGGACCTCCTAGCTCAAAAGGTAAGCAAATCATACATTCCTCCTCTTCAAGTGATTTAGATCTCAGGCAAGCTCTTGAGAAATTCAAAATGGAAACTCAAGGAGGGGGAGAGTCCTCCAAAGCACCCCAAGAGCAGTTGGCTGCTACTCTCCCACAAGGGACCCAACTGCTGGACCTCAACTTGGAACCTCACCAAGAAGCAAACACAGAATATGCAACTACAACTTCAGAGAACGCAAAACATCAAATTCTAACTGATGGAGCTGAAGACACACCAACACTAGCAGAGGTCTTCATCAATGAACGAAGGGCCACAATCAAATTTATCAGCAATGCCGAACTAAGACTCCACAAGCGGCTGATCAAAATGCAAAGGCACTTTGATAAACTTCTGGAAGCCAGATTTGCAGAAGTTCACTGCCACATCAAGAGCAATCTCATGATCCAACAAGTGTTCAACTCAGAACAAAAGGCCCAGCTCAAGATGCAGATTTCCCAGCAGCCTGCCCAGCTAGAAGACATCCACAACGAACTCGCAGCTCAAAGAGCTAAGGACTGGGAACTTGAGCTACAGATTCAAACCCTACTCAAGCAATTACACGATCAGGAGCAAGCAGGAGCACCTCTACATTCTCTGCCACCAAACATCGAAAAGGCTCTCCAACAAGTCAATGCACATGAGGCCTACATCAATACTCAACAAGGTCAGGAAGAAGCAATCAAGAGAGGCCTCCAGGACCTTCAAACTTTATGCTTAGAGCTACAAGGACAGCTTCAAGCACTCCAGCAACCTACAAGTTCAATCCAGCCCTCTGCCCTAGAAGAAGCACAACCCTCTGCCCAAGTAGAAGCAGAGCCCTCTGCCTTACCAACTAACCTGGAGCAGGCCCTTGAAACAATCCAGGTGCATTAGAAGTACCTACTCTATCTCAAGACTAAGGAGCTGCCAGCAATGCTAACTCTCTCCAAAAAGTTAGTCACCAAACAAGTGGAGCACTCAGAAGCTATAGGGAAGACTAGAGCAGATGTTGCTGATCATCTAGGCAGGTTACACAAAGCTACCCAAGAAGCTCTTCAAAAGCAAGGAGATGAACTCCAGAAACTAGGCCAGCACCAACAAACAACATCTCAACAACTTCACAAGATTGACCAAGAAATCAAAGAAGAAATCAAGGTAGATATGACTGATCTTCGAAACTTGGTTACTTCCCTTGCCATTGAAATCAACGACCTCCATCCAACAAGAACAAGACAAATTGAGGTTGACTCTGACCCAGAGATCGAAGCCCTATTCCGAGAAAGTCAGACCCCTGCTGATGCCAAAAAGGGGGAAAACACAACACAAGCAAGCACCTCTTTTACAAGGTCTCTGGCAGCCAAGAAAGCAGCCGAAACCAGGAAGAAGAACAAGCTCTACAAGGAAGAAGCAGAAATCAGAAAAAGAAAAGCAGAAGAGGCCAAAGCCAAGGAAGAAGCCAAGAAGAAACAAGAAAACAAGCAAGAGTAGGCTAGATATTAAAGTCCGAAACAGACTATAAACTATTGTACTCTAGAAAGTAGAACAATATACAAAAACTTCAAAGAAAATCAATACAAATGTTTGTTACTTGTGTTGTATAGTTTTGGCATCATCAAAAAGGGGGAAATTGTTAGTACCCAATTTTGATAAGATTTTGATGATTCCACTATACATAACACGTGTACATTGTGTCTCAATTTAATTTGCAATAAGTGACAAAATTAATGTACAATTTTTATGACTAATAAAATACTACCGGAAAAATAAAAATGCAATAAGGTAATATTTATTTACCTTAATAGGATATTTATATCCTACCGGTATATTTTATTAGCCCACAAAAATTAATTGTCACAAAACAAGGCCAAGTTCGAAAATAAATGTATATGATTAGAGACAAGTACTTGACCGGTATTTAATACCGAATCAAGTACTGTGGACTACAGCATGGGACTCAAACCTGGAAGAAGATGCCGCGGCCGAATTATTTACAGACAAAAACACCAACCGCAATTAAAGCTCCAGCACAAGAAGACAAGAGTACTACTCGTACTCTTCAAAAGTTCAACGACAGAGATCAATCTATCCTAACCAACGGATAAGATTGATTAGCCAGAAAGCCTATAAATAGAGGCTGAAACGCAAGTTTCTAACCAAGCATTTTGAGCATCCAAAGAGAGAATTTCTATTACGAGCATTTACGAGATATCTAGCATTTTGGCGGTGTTATAAAATCCTTCTAAACCCTCCAAAACTTGGGTTTTCTAATTCCCGATTTGAGGGTTTTCTAACGTCTAGCTACGCAAATGAGAGATTTATCCCCTGAAACTAATAGTGTTTCCGCATAAAATCTTTATGAGCTGCTACTCGCTTCATTGCTCTGCCGCTGAAATCCCTCAAGTCCTCAAACCCTCCTCTTTTGAAATTTGCAACTCCCAAACAAGAGGAGGGAATCCCTTCATATTTCCCTCCCCTTCCCTTCTCTCTACTCCTCTTCAAACCCTTCTCCTTCCCTCAACTCAAACTCCAAACACACCCTTAAACATTACTTTCAAACGACCCTTCATACTTCATAGTTCTCGCTACACAAAGATTGTCCTAAGTCTACGTTGGCAGAGTTTGCACTATAGAATCTTCGGTCTGTGAGCCTCTAATTCTGACATGTCTCAAACATAATAATGGGATAAAGTTGATTATATGTCAGAAAAGCTTTATGTGCCCTTGATTCTGCCCTTTTAACCTTACAGTTGACTTGATATGGAAGGTCATGCAGAGGACATCGTTGAGGATCATATGAGCAAAAAATATTTAGAAAATGGAATGCTGAAAGCATGAAAGATTAACAAGGGTCTCCCCATTTATTTTCAGAGTCTGGTCCATACCTTAATGGAGATTTACTTCCCTTTGTAATCAAAGAATCCTATCAAATTGCACACACATTGAGAAAATAAACTTTTTTCTTTTGAGTTCCTTTGATATTGTTTGACACTGTTTAAATTACTTTGCACGGTTTTATCATTATTATTTAAGAGTAATACTCTTGTGGTATAAATTTGTTTACCAATAAAAGAAAATGTGACTTTATTTACAGACATCTATAAAAAGAATATGAGTTAACCAAGCATTCCAGTCCAGCTGGTTGTGAGGTTACCATGCCTAGCGAGAGGTCTCGAGTTCGAAACCCGCTAGACACATAAGGGTTTGAAACTCAATGGAGTGAGTTTCAGCCCTGATTACTCCAAATCCCCCAGCCCTGTATACACATACTCTAATACATAAAGTGATTAGTTATAACACTTTCAATAAAATAGAAACTAATATACATATATACATAATAATAAATAAAGTTATTAGTTGTGAACTTGTGATTATTCAATAAAAATATAAACTTTAATACATAAATACTATATAAATGATATTGATCAAGATAGTAAGATACCCTAAAACTAATGCCCATTTTGGCCGTAAATACATACGCATAAAGTGTGTATTGGGCTTGGTAGGAAAAGCACAATATTTATTATAATTATTATTATTAATATTATTATATCATATATAATACTACATATGATTTTATACTCTTAGTAGTCCAAGAGACCTTTTTATTACTTAATTTCTAGTTTATTCTACGAGCTTTTTGTGCGAGAGAATGCGACGCAAAGTGTGGAGCTATATGCATGTACAAGAACCGATACTTTATTAGAAAAAAGTACTAATTTTCTATGAGAGACATTGATTTTTTTTTTAAAAGTGAAGATATATTTTGCTTTTAAATTTGTACACTTTGCTTTATATTTTACATACATGTCTTGTTATTTTCACAAAGTTTATAATGGTGTGTGTATCATGCTTGGCGGGCGGGTCTACCTGACCCGATTCCGAGACCCGTTGGGTCCGGGTCCGGGTCCAAATTTTCAGACCCGACGGGTAAACGGGTCGGGTCCGGGTCTATTGACAGGCCTGGAACACTAGCGGGTTCGGGTCTGAAACACTAGCGGGTTCGGGTCTGAAACACTACGTTCCGACCCGAACCCGACCCAGACCTACAAGCAGCCCCATTTTCTGTATCCCCACCTCTCCTTCCTTATTTAAAACGGGTTGGAGGGAATAAAGGTAAGATACCCTAAAACTAATGCAGGTAAGTAACCACTTCAAGTGGCGGCTTTGTTTAACCATAGTTCCCGTCAGCAGTATTTTGGGAATTATTTTTAACTCAACTCTATTTTCGTATTAATTTATTTTATTAGCATTAATTCCGGAAAAAACTCGTATAACAAAATAACATTTTTTTCTTGTGTTCACAATATTTACAATTTTATGACATTGACATTATCACATATATTGCGATTATTACAATGAAATTTTATGACATTGATATTGACATTAAGGATGTTATTATTTGACATGCATTGTGACGTTTCTTTGATAGTATGAATAGCTTAATAGCTTACACCCATACCATACAAAAAAATCTAATTAAAAATCCAACAGAAGCTTTTCAGATTTCCAAATAAACCACTATACACATCATAAACAACGCATCCACACAAATCATTACATACGTGATTCAAGCACGTGATTCATAGAGCAAAAGAAAATACTCTCAAGCACGTAATTCATAGAACAAGTACGGAGTATAAAATTGAACAAATTGAAAATGGAAATGGAGATGATGAATCAGAAAGAACGCATCCACACAAATCATTACATACGTGAAAAAATCAATTCACCATGGACAACAAAACTCCTAGTCGGAAGGTCCCTCAGATTGCTCCAGAAGACCATTAGAATTCAAATCTGAGTCAAAAAGTTTATGGTTTGCATCTATCAGATTTTCATATTTTGCAAAAATAGACTACCACTTCGCCCGCCGGAATATCAAATCTATGCATGTAAAAAGGAAGTCTTGAAGAAGTGATAGATTATCAGTGCCTGCTTGTTACCCACAACAAAATCTCTCCGGCGGCTTGCTTGTATATCTCCTCCACAGCTGCGTACGCCGTCGTTCCAGTTAAGAGATCCTGACCGTACAATCCTGAACGCGCTTGGATCATGCACATGCTCCGGTGACAGTCCGATGAAAATTGAGCAGAAACAACCTCTATCTTGTACTTCTCCAAAACAAAGCAGATACCCGTTAGCAGGCCGCCGCCGCGGGCGCCGGGCGGCTTCTTTGGACAGCAAAGGCTAATCTGGGCATCGCTGCCGCAGACATTGAGGACGACATTCGGGGATGTCCACGTCTGAAACGACACCGGCGGGTGTCGTGGGATGACGTCGGCGGAGTAATGCATGTTTGTAGCCTCGGGCGATGAGGATGAGGACAATGAACCAAATAAAGAAGCCAGGAGGCCGCCGCCTCCGCTTCTCCCGGCGGCGTGATGGTCGGCAGCCAAGAATGCCGCCGTCTGATCCGTTGGTGCAGGGTTTAACCTCTGTGAACTCAAAACAGAGGATGGGCCGTAGTTAAACCTCTGGAGCATATCTATCTTTTGCTTCTGGAGGCCGTGGAGAGTCTGTTCAAGCGCTTTGATGTAGGTCACAGCTTCACCAACAATGGTGGATTTGTCAGCCTACATAAAAAAATCATCACACAATCAAACTATTCGCCCCATGCCAATATATATGTTCATGTAGAGATGGCCCAAATCAGGTTAAGTTGGTCCAAAATTTGTTGGAAAAAGCTATTTGTACGCTTGTATACATTTTTTATATAGACTCTCCTTGTTGCTTGTGTACACATAGTTCATTCAGAAGCCGCTCTGTATAAAGACAATCGGAGAATGTGTACAAGAAATGCGTACAACTTAATGTTAAATTAACATAAAAAAGTACAAGTAGTATCACCCAAATTTGTTTGGAAAAATGTTAACATAAAAAAGTTTACATTAATAATTGAACATTTTTTAAATTTAGCCTGAGTTGAGGCCTGCGATGGCGTTGCCCTGATCCGCCCATGCCTTCATTTAAACTCCCGCTTTTTATTTGGAATAGTCTAATGGAGATTTCTATGGTGCCTTTATTAATTTAAGCGGCACCGGTACCGAGCTGCTTTTGGTGGAGTTCAAAAAAAAATCGGCGTATTTCATTGCACTTCAAATTTACACGGGTCATATAGATGATCTATTTTGAAATTTTAGCAATCTTTGTGAGAAATAGACTAGAAAATTGAGAGTTATTGGGACATTTATGGTGGTTTGTTAGTTTTGATTGATGGATGAAAATATCCCATAAAAATGATACTTTAGTTGAGATTAAGATTATGAGTTTTCAAGATATGCATTAAATATAGGCATTCGACGAATTGATTGACAAAGAAATATGTTACTTTTATCACATGGTGAATTACACTACGCAAAAAAACTCCTTTCTCCAATAAATAAGTTTTCAATTGAATTTACACATATATTTATGTAAAATAAAGTTTTATTTTGATTCACTAATTATACTCATAATAATTTATACTACGCACGGCGTAGTATCAAATAAAACAAAAAGTAGGTAGAAATAGAGTTATGTAGGGTTATGTAATTGTTTTATTAAAAAAAATATTTTTATTGAAATGAGAATTTAAATTTGAAACATTCAAATAAGGATATTATGATTTTTTGGAATAGGGGTTAAATTGAATTTACAACGTACTTTATAGTTCAATTTCGAGTTATGCTTGGTCTACCCCATTTTAAGGTACCCCATTTGTATATCACTTTTTATGTGATTACAAAGGCTCAATCATTGAATCAATTGCTCCACTTTAATGAATCATCTTTTGTAAACCACACAAGTATGATGTGTACAAATGGGGTATCCAAAAATAGGGTACCTATATTATTTTTCTTTCTATAATCTAACCTATAATCTATGAAATTAGCGCGCTCCTCTCCACTCAAAATTTCTTGTAGGAGAGTGAAAGTGATATAGATGAGAGGATGGTGGGGCAGGAAAGAAAGGAGTTTGGTTAGTGATTTGTAAATGATATAGAAAGTGAAAAAGAAATGGAGAAGAGTAGTACTATATATAGGATTTGCTATTTCATGTTTAGTAGTTCTTCTATCTTTTTCATTTCATTGGTTAGTGATAGAGTAATTGTTTAGAGAGAAGTGAGAGCTAGAGAGAGAAGTGCAACAAGTTATGCAATTAATAAATTTATCAACCCCTACAACTACTCCCAAAGGGAGTATTTATAGAGTAAGAATGAAAGAATGACTAAGTGTGAAATCTTGTTCTGCGAGCTTTCGGTGGCCGACGAGGGCATGGCCGATGGAGGCATGGCCGACGGAGACCCGGCCGAAGGGGACACCCGGTTCTCCTGGCTTCTGAACCATATTTTGAGTAGATATATTTCTGGCCGATGGAGGTCATATGGCCGACGAGGGTCCCACTAGGCTACAGTTGTACCTCTTATTCTTCTGAGTACGTGGGTCCTCGGGTCTAGACCCATATACTCCATCAGGAGTCCCCCACTCTCTAAGCTGAGATGCAAACAAAGTGAGGAGAGTAGATTCCTGCATTTTTTATGTTCTTGGCCGATGCGGGACCGCTCTGGTCGTTCCCTGCTCTGGCAGTTGTGGCCATTCCCCATTTCGGTTCTTCGTGTTTGGCCACTGTATGTGGGCGAAGAAAGCTGATGTTCCTCTGACGTAAGTTTATCTGAGGGCGATGAATGCCCTGGCTCAGTGGCCGATACACGTCCTTGGTTTGAATAACCGATGAGGGTGACGTCTTTTCTTTCTTGACCGTTGATGGTTGTCTTTTGTGTTTTGGCCGAGGAGGCCCCATGCTTGCTTTCATACTCTAAGTCGAAGCGATGATATTCATAGTTTGGTGTCCATGTCTTTGAGGACGACGACGGTACTGATCCAAAAGAAGTTGTGCGTATTTTTCGCCTCATGGACGATGATGGCGTTTGGGCATGGGGACGTTGTGTTCCTGTTTCCCTGGTTCAGTGGAGCATGTGATCTCAAGGCCGTTGAATGTTACGCGTCGAGGGATGACACGTGTCACGCTCTGGGTGGTGAACTTGCTTCCTTGTTTACTTACTTTGTTGCGGCCGAGGGTACACAGCTAGGCCCTGGACGTTATGGTGCACGGATGATACAATGTTTGTAGTTTTTGGACTTGTGTGTTTTTTGGATTTTTAACTTTGTCCTTGCTTACATTTTGAGGCTGGTGTAGTCTCCCAGTCCCCCACTGCTTCAGGCCGAGGAGTAGCCAGGGGTGAAGGAGTTAGGTATAAACCCAAGCCGATGCGGGATCCTCGTATTTCCCCTGGATCCAACCCTTGGCGATTTCCTGACCAAGGTAACCCTGTGGGAGAACCCTTGGACGTAGGTCGCTTTCAAGGAGTTGTTATCAGGGTTTTATATGAGGCCGATGGCTGTTGGATTCTTTTTCCCTCGAGGTTGTGGCCGTTGTGAAGGCCATGTTGGCTTGTGAAGCCGGTGTAGGTGTAACCTTGTTGTATGGCCGTTGAATGACCTGGCCATCATGGGTTGTAGATTGTTTTGCTTGTGCTGAGACGTTGGGGTTAGCATTGGGCTGATAGGGCCCGAGGTGGGCCTGGTCCCTTTGTGAAACGGTGGCGGGCTTATTGGGCCTTGGGGGTGGTGGCCGTTCATGTAGCCAATGAGTGAGCGACACATGTAGTGACCGTTGGGGGGAGGTATATAAATACCCCCCCTCCCGAAGGAAGTCCCCCATTTGCATCTTGAGCTAACGAAGTGCTACCCAAATTTCTAGGGAGAGAGAGAGAGCTTGCTTCGAGTGTTCTTCCGTTCTTCAAAACTTCAAAGGTCAGTTCATCAAACCTTTCTCTGATTCCTTGCATACTTTGCTTCCTTAGGTCTTGATTTATTGTTAGTCAGCAAACCACTTTTAGATCTTAAGTAACTCCCCTTAGGACCCTCGTAGTTGTTATGATGAAGCCGTTGGACAAAGAGTACTATCCGTATGATGACGAAGTTTCCGCCAAGTCCCTTGATTACCGGGTGGTTGAGGAGTGTTGTGAGGAGATTGAGGACTTGAGTTCTTTCATGTCGGGGGAGCAGGAGGACGGTGAGGGTGAAGACAAAGAGGCCGCCTCGTCGTCTCAGGGTGAGGATGTAGGGGTTTCCCGCACCATGGACGGAGCGTCTACTTCAGCCATGATTCCCTGCCCAAAGCCGGTTTCTACCGTTAAAGGGACCGCCCCGAAGAGAAGGCGTCGACCGAAGAAGGGTCCAGGTTTCTCCTACCTGGACCTCACCAACATCTACATTATCAAGCCGCAGAGTAGTGCGGCTGATTACTTGGTTGCCCAGATGTACGTGGGGCCGTATGGAAAGGTTAGGGCGCCCAGGCCGACGGATCATGTGCTTAACCCTCCGGCCGGGTATTTCGGGGTGTACCCCATGAGCTTTGCTAAAGGACTTCGGTTCCCGCTTCTTCCATTCATCAAGGAGTACCTGGATATGGTGGATCTTCCTCCGGCTTTGCTTACCCCGAACAGCTAGTCACTGATCGTTGGTTTCCTCCTTCGCTGCGCTGAGTTGGACTTCAAGCCGACGACAGCCCTGTTTATGAACTTGTACCAGATAGGCCGAGGAAGCCATAAGAACTGTGCCTATTATGCTACCCTCCAGCAGATAAAGAACATGAGGTCCTTCACCGATCTTCCTTCATCCATCCATGGCTGGATTGACAAGTTTGTTTTTGTGTCACTGGGCGAGGGTGGCACCGAGTTTCCCTCTGTCGGCCATAGCGGGAGATTCAATCTCCATGATGTGTCGAAGAGTGGCATCTTAGATGCTCAAGTGGCGGCATTCTTGAAGGGAGGGCCGAGGAGCGTGAAGGACTACATTACGGAGTATAAGATGACCGCCCTCGGCTTCATGAGGTACTTTGTGTATGGGGATAAGGAGGATGATATTGAGATATGACCGAGGATGACCACCACTTTCGAGGAGGCCGATGGCCCGAATTTGGGCGTGCCCGCCAAAGCTGATGGTAATGCCGTCCTCAACATTCTTGTTCTCGTTTTGTTTCCTTTCTTTGCTAATTGTTTTTTTATGCAGATTTTGTGATGGACCGCAGATCCGTCATGGCCAAAGCTAAGGCGAAAGTGGCCGCGGAGATGGCTGCCAAGGAGGCCGCAAAGTTGGCCGCTGCGAGTGGAGCACACCCGAGCTCCGACCTGCCGAAGAAACTGCCCACTCAGCCGAAGAAGAAGCGGTCGGTGGATGACGTCCAGAAGAAGCTGACTGAGGCTGGCATGCAGCCTTCCAAGAAGTCAAAGAAGACTTCCTCCCCGCCCGAGTCCGATGCCGGGATTTTGACTGTTCCAGTTGAGGACGGCGGAGGTTCCAGTGCTGCTGCTGTTGTGGACCTCACCTCGGGTCCTTCATCTGATGCTGTTTCTCAACCCCTTCCCAACGTCCAAAACTCCCGGAAGAAGAAGGCCGATAGGGAGTTGGTCACCGGGACTTATAAGATGGAGATTGAGTATCTCGTGAAGGGGGGCATCTTCAACGAGGTTTTTGACGGCCACGACGTGATCTCCCAAGCCGTCCCAGCCGAGGATCGGGCCTATCTTGAC